ACACACACACACACACACACACACACACACACACACACACACACACAGCTTCTTCAGTCCTCCCCTCTAGACCGAGGCCCATACAACCCTCTCTTTCTTTTTTCTTTCTTTCTTTCACTTGTCTCCCTTCCTCCCCTTCTGTCTCTGTCCATTTAATATTTTATTAGATTTACATGCACTTCCTCAGTGGAAGTGTGCAAACTTATCAATGGATTAATATGCTCATACAAATGCACATTTGTTTCACTTTTTTTTTAAATGTCTTTCAGTGAATTTATCATTTTGTCCTTTTAATATGTGTGTGTGTGTGTGTGTGTGTGTGTGTGTGTGTGTGCATCTTGGAGGCTCTTGCACCTTGCATCTGTTCTAGCTGGCAGAGCTTCCAGGAGTCTTGTGTGCCGGTCTCAAACAACGGCAGCTTGTTTTGCCGACCCCAACACTGAACTGATGCACACATTCAAACACGCCAAGACAACAAGAGTGAGAGCTGAATTCCAAACCGAACCCATTACTTGGAGATCACGGTGGAGGTTAAAGTAGAAGGGAAAGAAAGAGCGTGCATGCAGCCGGGGCTGAACAAAGGGGACGGCAAGATGTGAAATGAAGCTTTACAGGAAAAATATTCACAGTGCTTTATTTATTTTTTTCCAGAATGCAGCATACTGGAATCCATGTTTCAGTCCTCCCAAAGCTTGGAATGTTTAATTTGATTTAAAGTATAAACAAATGCAACAGAAGTGAATCTTTGTCTCTATTTCCTTTGCTGTTAAAGCCAAAAAAAAGAAAGGAAAAGGAAAAAGTGGCATTTTAATCCGTGGAAGTCTAAAGCAAATTTGGTATTACTTTTCGAACTTAATCTCTAGAGACTCCCGGCCAACATTACATTACGTCTCACAAACCAACACATTTTTGGGCCGGTAACAAAAATGGGCCATAAACATGGAAAATAGCTGATTGTAAAAAAACACTTTTTTTGTCCTTCTGCCTCATTAAAAGATTTATTCAGCAGCTCTGGTTTCACGCAGAAACCAACACAACAGCTCTGAGACGTATTTAAGTCTCGACATTAGAGCCGGAGGAACCTCGTTCTGTGATCGGCTCGAGGGCGGCGATTGCATCAGAGACTCCGCAGGCGCTACGGCAACACTGGGAGGTCTTGAAAATATTACATCAGAGAGAAAGGTATACATCGTAGTAGTAGATTTGGGTCGTATAAATACGTGTCACCGCACTGAATCACTCCGCCACCTGCCACTGAGTACACACAGCTGAACTGGACGCACATGAAGGCCCTAAAAAATCTCCACCACGATTGTTTTTCCATGTGGCTCGAGGTCGTGCAAGCTGGAGGCAGGGAAGGAGTCAAACCGCAGAGAGACACACGGGTGTATGTTATATTACACAATTCATCCGACCTGCAAAACCTTCACTCTCAACAGTTATTTTACGACTTCCCCTCCTGGCAAACGTAAGCATGAATGTTCAAAAAAAATAAATGAATGATGGTTGCATTTCGGCAACTCTCAGCGCTTGGTGGAGGTGAGGAAAAGGTTGTGGTCTTGGTGAAGAACTGAAAAAGTCAACGCTCACTTGAAGCGTAAGCTGGTGACGCTTTTTCAGTGTTTCACCAAACTGCCCAACAGTTTTATTAGCCTAACACTAATGTATCCCGACTTCCTACCTACTAATTCTGTGAGTCATATAACTTAAAAGGGTGCCTTTGATTGCCAAAAATATATATTTATCCAGGGAAAATAAATAGTTTCCTTTAAAACATATTTAGCATAGTATATAAATGTATTTTGCTCTCACGTGTTTGGTTGGAAACAACATGCATTTCGTCTCCTCAACAGCTCGGAGACAAAAACCCCAAACCTCCTGACTCCCAGCAGGACAGTTCGAGCAGGATGACACACACACACACACACACACACACACACATATCTCAGCCCCAGTCACATGTCAAACCAGGGCATAATTAAGAGTTTAAACAAATACAATTTCACCTCTGATCCTGTAATCCTGATCTGTTGGACTGTGTGTGTGTGTGTGTGTGTGTGAGAGAGAGTGTGTTGGGGGTGCATGGTGAGCCCAGTCAAGGCCCCTCTGTCCCTGAGGACTCACAACCTCTGTCAACACAAACTTAGGGCCACACACACAAACACACACACACATCCGTGTACTTCTATCTTTGTGAGAACACTCATTGACATAAAGCATTACCTAGTCCTGGGGTGGCCAAACTATGGCCCTCGGGCCAACTGCGGCCTGTTGATTATTTGTAAATGACCCGTGGAGATTTTTTTTTTAAATGAACAAGAATATGGCCTGAGCATATTTATAATAAATTGCACTGTATGTACACTGCACATCATAGTTTAAACACTAGATGTCGAGTGCATTTAGTTGAGTTATCGTCGTCTCAACCTCTTGACACAGAAATCAATGTTTTACTATTTCTGCTTGTTCTGTTTGTTACATCTTAATATTAGATTTATGGATTTGCATCTTACGTATACGGATAATGATTATTAATATTAATAATAATTAAGTGGGCCCTTAGTCCATGAACAGAAACCAATATTTGTCCATTTCTACCTGTTTAAACTTTACTTTTTACAGATTTACACATTAACATCATCATATTTTAAGTGGGTGAGTTTGAAATTTGTTACATTTTGTAAGATGTGGGCACGCCAGTAAACGACTGTAATGTCAAACATTAAACAGTTTACTCCTGTTGTTATGATAGGAAAGTCATGTTCTATGACATGTGGTTTTCTGATGTAGATTCACAGATTTTCTTGCAGTGTATCTTGTTGAAAAAACTACATATTTACTATTGTTTGGCCTGTGATTCCTTACATTGTTCTCTAAATAAAAGGGTTTGGTCCCCACTGCCCAAGCCCCTTACCCTTACAATAACCCTGAACTGAACCTAATTCTAACCCAAACGTTAAAACCAAGTCGGATCCCTAAAAGGGATTTGAAATAGTGAGGACCGGCCAAAATGGCCTCACTTTCCAAAAGTCCTCACAAAGATAGATGTACAAGTACACACACACACAGGGACAACGTAGCCTTTATGAATCCATGAATTTATCCCACGCCGTTGAAATGAGGCTCTAGTTGTCGGCGCAGAACAACAAGCAGGAGGTCAACAGTTCTGATGTGAAGGAAACTCACTGAGATGTCACTCAGCAGATAAAACTCCTGTTACCGTTGTGTGTGTGTGTGTGTGTGTGTGTGTGTGTGTGTGTGTGTGTGTGTTTGTATATCAGCGCATGTGTGTTTTAACATTATGAAAGACTGGTCCATCCATCCATTCATTTTCCTGTTCATCGCTGTTCATGGTCTATTTTCATTGTTTCTCATTCATCCACCGATGACCCCATCCATCCATCCATCCACCATTCAAATATATTGTTCTGCTGATGAAGCAAAATTCCTTCTTATTACACTTTAACACTGTTAACAAAAAAGCATCGGGGATGCATTTTGTATTTCATGTGGCGGTACTTTGATATTTGATGGCAAATTTTGATATTTTGGCCAAATACAAATTGTTCACCATGTTTAGGAAAAATAGGCACATAAAATGTGTTATTGCATTCAAATGATTCCTTTTATTGTACCGTTGTGTTTTTTGATTGTCTGTTTTAGTCGTATAAATTCCGTTTTATTTGTTGAATGAAGTGAGTGAGCGAATTAACAGTGTAAAAGTATCTAAGGATGAAGTTTCACTCTTTTTTCACCAGCCCTTCATCTCTCCATCCATCTATCCATCTATGATGCGGAGCAGCAGCAGCGGTGGTTCAGGGGTCTTACCTGGGTAGAAGTCTTTGGATTTGGACAGTTTGATGGTGGCTCCGGTCTCTTTCTGCAGCTGGACGATGGTCTGACCTCCCTTGCCGATAATGGAGCCCGCCGCATAGCTGGGAATCAAAACCTTCAGGAAGTACTCGCCTTCCTCTGCAGCAGAAAACAGGAAACAGGAAGTCAGAGAGAGAGCCACTGCAGTTCATGTTGTTTTTAACTTCAAATAAAGCTGAAGAAGAAACATAATACTAAACGCTACAGTGTGCATCATTAGTTTGTTTGAACCTTTGCCCTCATGCCTGCCGTTTCTTTCTATAGTTTTCTTGAGTTTATGACAATTTTTGGCAATTTTACTAAATGTCTGTCAGTGACAAAACAGATGCTGCAGCAGAATCATTTTTCTCCCTCTCAACCGACCATCCGAAGCTCCGCCAAGCCGCCTAAATCCATCCAATCACATCGGACGATGACTGATATCCATGACAACTAATTATTCCCACAATCTGATAATTAACGGTGTCTCTTCCCCTTTTTTTTCCTCTCCGCTCATCCATTTGTGCGAGCCTCTAAACGCTCTCTCCAGATTGGTCTGATCTAATTTCGGCGTCTCGGGGCCGTGAGGAATCTGGTCCTCGTCAACCACCTCGACGTGAGGGAGAGGGGGTGGCTGATGAAAAAAACACTGCCCGTTGCTTTTTTTATCAAAGCTAATCAGATTTGACCGACGCTTCCGGATGCGACGCCTCGCTAAGGCGCATAAAAGCACATGCCCGCCACGACACACAAACACACACACACACACACATGTATTAACACGTGCAGAAAAGCCCACACAAAGAAAACACGAAGCAGACGAGCACAGAGTCAGACGTCTGTACCCATTTCTTCCTCATCACTTTCACAGCTGATCCATCTGACCTTTGACATCCAAACAAACTAGGAGGTGTGACATCAAGGCAGTTTTGGGGGGACGTCATCCCGCACAACCTTGTCTTCTACAACGTTACTTTCCCATGCAATTAAACTACATTATTACATTTTTTCTTCAGTGCTTTCAGCAGCATAACTAAATTCCATTCACCTGCATTTTGCAATTAAGTATCGTAATTTAATTTCAATATCCCAAATCCACGACAAATAAGTCAACGTTGACTTTTGGTTTTCAGTGTTTGTTTGACTTGTCCTCCTCACACGGACTTCCATTGACTATGATTGGAAAAATATTTGTGACTGAAAAGTAAAACAATGCAGATTAATCTTGATGTCAGTTGGAGCTAAAGCTAAAAAAAACTTCAGTGGCTCTCTGTTGTATTTGCATGTGAATCGAGAGGTTCGGTCTGGATCACAGACTCAACCTCACAGACTCAACCTCACAGCCTCAACCTCACAGACTCAACATCACAGCCTCAACCTCACAGCCTCAACCTCAGACTCAACCTCA